GCTGCTCATTTTGTTATAACAGCGCAGCAATAATATCTCCGCAACGGTAGTCCAATGTCGTCGCAGCATGTAAACATTTACGCGTAACGGATATAGCGTTCCGAAGCATAATCGTCTCCGATTACTGACAATTGGTTTTTCAATTATATCCCGCGGGTGTAATTGAGTTACAAACGGTATATGCGAAACCATCCATTATCCGCTTGTTTGCCGATTATCGGCGATCTTTAGGGTGCTTAGACACCTCGTTGTCGATCAATGGTCGCGCTCTCTCTTCAGGACCTATCTTTGGAATATTCAGAAGCCTAGGTTAAGGGGGGTCATCTCGTGTGACGAACGTTTTTTTAAGGCATTTTTTTGCGGCGAAATGAAAAAATACAGAGCTTCCAAATTTTTACTATATATTTATTACATCTTAAACTATATGTGTAAATTTTTTTATTTAAAAATATGGCGTCGATGGCGAGTTACATCACTGGAATGGCACCCATGTAAAAAAAACGGTGCCCACGATTCCGGCAAACTGGTTTATCGGAAATCAAAAAATCAAATTGCATTTTGCATTCCATCTATAGGTGTGGCTATCGTGGGAACTAGGATTTTTTAAAAATACCCTTAAGGGGGTCATCCCGTGTGACGGCTTCAAAAAATCGATATTTTTTTGCGAAATTTGCAAGAAGAAGAGGAAGGGATACTCTATGCACTAGGAATAGCAGATTAGTGGTAAGCAAAAATTTCATGGTGTAATTCACCCGTGAACTTTCTAACGCGTTTTTTCTCAAAACTGGATTTTTTTAACTGGTGCCTATGATTTTTCGAAAACGGTTCAATGGATTTAAATAAAATTTTAATGGTAGATTCAGCACATGTGTGGCTATCGTGGGAACTAGAATTAAAAAAAAAATATTAAACCGTTTTCTGTCCGCATAAAAAAATAGTCGCAAAAAATCATGCTATTTTGAGTTATAATTTTTAAAAGCATGCGAAAAATTGAATTTTTAATATTTTCAAAAAATCCTAGTTCCCACGATAGCCATTCACCTATAGATTAAAATGCAATTTGATTTTTGATTTCAGATAAACCAGTCTGCCGGAATCGTGGACATCGTTTGTCTGCTTTTTTTACATGGATGTCATTCCAGTGATGTAACTCGACGCCATATTTTGAAATAAAAAAATTTACACATATAGTTTAAGATGTAATAAATATATAGTAAAAATTTGGAAGCTCTGTATTTTTTCATTTCGCCGCAAAAAAATGCAAAAAAACCTTAAAAAAAAACGGTCGTCACACGGGATGACCCCCTTAAATATCCACAAGGTTTCCTATTTTAACGAAGAAAAAGTCAATGCTACGAGATAAAATTAAAAAAAAAAGGTTAGAAATGAGAGACAGACAGAGGGAGGAGGAATTTCCGTTCGCAGTACCGCTCTACTTGTTTTCGTTATCATTCGATAAAAGTACTTCTATACTAAAGAACTGGTGCATTTTGTCGAGAAAAGCACGGTTCTTAAAGCTTAGTTTACCGAAGCAAATGTACATTTAAACGACGTCGCGTCGGAAAAAGTACGTCGATTCGATCGATCGCGCCGTGCTGCTTTCCGGAAAAACCCCGCAAGGTTTCGACACGACGTCGTACGAATCGCAACGAAGCTTGCGTGTCGTGAAAATCACGTACGAGGCAGGTGATCGTGGATGACGTCGTGTAGCAGCCACTTTTCAGTGCTTTACAATTTGCAGGCACAATATGTCAACAAGAATCGTCGCGCGGCCGCGATAACGCAATTTGTACGGAAGAGAGAGAGACTTTCTTTTTCCGACGATTAAAAGCGGTTTAATCGATTTTCAGAGCTAGCACGAAGTTCCCGCGTCATCAAACCGATGTTACGGGTGTAAAAAAAAACAACGAAGAAACGATTACGTTCGTCAGCTGCTGACGTTTGTTAACGCTAACAGCGGTGAGATAAGTTTTCGCGAAAAGTCAGGAGTCATGCCGAGCGCGTTCGGTAATAATCGTCGTCGAAATAAATCCTCTATCGGGGTGGGAAGAAAATTCATAGGTACGTAAGATGAGATTTAATTTTCTTGAGAGGATAGTTCTTAAGAACATCATAGTCATGAAACGTGACGTGGAACATCACATCCTTGTTGTTTCAGAACGCGATAATGTTTCTTCGCGAAAAATACAAAGATAAGATTTACCTGAGATATTCTCGGATATGGTCTTATTCTCGTGAAAATACGCAGAAAGGGAAGGGAACGCAGTTACCATTCACACACTTTAAAAGAAATATCAATGTTGTCTAGTTACATATCTAAAGATATTACGTTCGGAAAGGAAGTGGGATTATTTTTTTTTTTCTCCAACATTATGCGATAATTATTGCGCCTGATTCAACGTCATCCCCCGGGTCAATTTTATATCAGGCGATAACGTAGAATGACAAGACTCATTTATAAAGAGAAACAGTACGGTATAACGATGAGATATTATTATGACTTCAATTTGCGCATCCGCGCACCAGACAAAAAACTAGCAAGCCTGTCGTCATTTTCCCGGAAGCAAAAATCCCAGCGCGAAAATAATCGTCGAGCCAACCAACGCTCCGCAGTTTTATTGCGTGGCGGATTTCACGGAAAAGCCACTGCGTTAATCTTGATTCGCAATGCGATGAGTCATCTTGAAGCGACGACATTTCGTTTCGAAAAATTACGTCAAGTTGCGTTTCGATTTTCTACACGCTGAGAGAATTAGACCTATTGTCCGAGAGACTGTAAGAAGCCGGTCACGCTGGCGAGACCAACTTATTCTGATCAACAGATGTTGATTACGATCAAGACACGATGTAATACAAGAATAAGATACATATATACATATATATATATGCACACACGAAGCGGAGAATAAATACACGGTGTCCCATTTGCGTCGCATTAAATTTGGACGATACTCTTTGACGAATTCGGAGTCGACCTTTTCATACGGAAATTTCGGTATGAGATACCGATCAGCTTTTCAATCCCGACGTCAAATATTTTCATTAATTAAACATCGAGTAAAAATCCTGACAGAAAATAAAGCCCACTTGAATTTAAATGAGGTATGATGCAATGTTATATTTTATTCAGCCAATATTAACTCCGGTCGTCCCGCTTCTACATTCATTCGCGTTAACCGATAATGTACTGCCCGGGAGTACCACGCGCTTTATTATTACCTTTACCCTAGTATTTTACCGTTCCATTCTATCTTATTTTTACATTTCATCTCGTATCCCACGAGCAGTACCCTGAGCTTTTTTCCGCATCGTGGGCGTAGCATCGGCAATGTTTAAATGGTAGGCCGTGAAAATTCACAATTAGGGCTTTCGGTAGCGCGTGGTCTCACGAGCGACCCTATACGAAAGGGATCTGTTGCACAGACGTTGGGATTCTCTTTCAATCGAGTTAAACAGCCGTCCTTTTCAAGATCGGGAGCCTGATACAGAGGGAAAATTGAGTCGAACGCCGGTCGCTAATCGACGCTACGACTCGTTGCTACCAAATATAATACGTCTCGTCAGTCGTTTATCTCGTTCAAGAGGTGCACGTCTCGTCTCGATTGCACGTCTCGTACTTCGGATTCGAAATAACGGGAGTGGAGCTGCGGACTGCTTCCGCGAATGGCCCTCGAAATTGTGAGCGTGGGCGGAATTTAAGAATACGTAAAAACCGCTGCCACACAACTAGATCTGTTGTGCGAAATATATTGTTGCAAAGTGCATTGAACTTTAGTTAGTATTTCCGATAAATATCCGCGATTTATAACCCAAAATTAATAAAACGAAAATAAAAGGGTGGTACCACAATTTCGTTAGCGTCTCGTCGCTATCGAAAAAAAAAAAAGGCGGCACCGTTCTTCTATAGATTTTCATTTTTTCATATATTCTGTATTTTTGAAAAAAATAATCGCTAGTGGAAGAGACGATTTTCTCGAATTCGTTTCGAAGCAGTGCGGGCGTCGCCTTGCGCATTTTTTCTCCTTCATTAACCGCATGTGACAGCGCAATGGCGTCGTACGCGTTTCTACAACTTACTGTGCGTTCGCAGCGAACGACCGATTTTAAGAACGCAACGGCAGTTACGCGATGCGGCGATTTGTGCGGCTGAAATCGCACGCACGAAAGAAGTCTTCGCCGTTCTTCCGCTCAAACATCTCTCTCTCTCTCTTTCAAAGAAGGCTCTTCACAGGGCTCGGCCCCGAAAGGAAACGGGAAACGCGCAAGAAACCGCCTCGAACGTACGCACAAACACGCGCGCGCTCAGTCATACACAAAAAAACATACACAAACGTGTATGTGTAGACACTCGCGCACTGGCGCGGGGATACCGCGGTACGTTACGTCCTGACCTGTATTATTTTTCTCTCGGCGCGCGTCCCCACTTCGCGCCCGCTCGTTCGCGCTTTACCCCCCTCCGCCCTATCCCGGTGCCCCCCGTTGTACCGCGCGCACGCACGAATTACGCAGAAACGGATAAACACGCGAGAGAACACGTCAATGAAGAAGCGGAGGGAGGTCACGTTTGACAGCGGCAGCGACATCGGTGATGACGGCGTCGTCTTTCATTCTCCCATCTCGCTGAGAGTCGTGCGAATTTCTCGATCACCCGTGTATACACATCCGCACACGCTCCACGAGTACGGGGGAGGAGGGGGGGGGGATAGCGGAGGAGTGTGAGACGGGTGGGAGGGAAGGGTGCGGGTAGGGAACGACAGCGGGGAAAAAACCGACGGAGAGCGGGACGGCGATACGAGAGAACGAAAGATAGACAAGAGGGATAGAGAAAACAGAGAAAATGGTAGGGAGGCCGCCGGTCAAAATGGCAGGCGATGTCATGCAGGCGGAAAAAAACAAGATCTAACGCGGGCGAGGGAGCGAGCGTGAGTCGGGAGGGGACGAGGGAGAGCGGCCGGAACGCGAATTGCCAAATTGCGTAGCGAGAGACTTGTAGTACTTACTCACGCTCACACTTTTTCCGGTTATCCGGCTCGCCGCGGCTCCGTCCGAATCCGTGCAAACGTCGACGTGAGTCCTGTCAGGCGACGAGAGGATGTTACAGCAGAAGAACGTGGAACGTCGACGGCAATGGCACACACACGCGGGGTCACGCACTCTCTCCGCTCCGCGCGCGACTCGTCTCGTTGTGTGTCCGCGCGACGGAAAAACAACACCCGGCGTCCTTTTCCGTCCTGGTCGCCCCCTCCTCGTCTAGCGCACGGGGGCGGCGTACTCGCTCCCTCACTCTGTCTTTCTCTCTCTCTCGCCCGCTCGCTCTTGCGCGCTCTCCCTCTCTCTGGCCCACGGGGAGCGGCAAAACGAAGGGAAAAAAAATCAAATCGACACCAACAACGCGCGTTACGGTTTAGTGCGCCGCGCGTAGTACGTACGGACGCGTATTGTTTTTTGGAGCAACCGTCAGGTGTTGTTACGAGGACGACGCGCGGCGCGGCACATACGAACGTGCTTCGTGTGTTTCACGCACGAGACTACTTCTCTCACTCTCTCGACGCGTGAGTGGACGATGACGACGACGACGAACGACGACCAAAATGGCGTTTGCCGGACCGCCCGCGCGCGATCAGGTGGAAAATGCCGGAATGCCGCTACTAGGAAAGATCGACTGACTGCCGAGGTCCGCGGCCCTAAGTGGTTTGATGTTAAGAACGGGCGGAACGAGCTAGAACGAGAGAGACGAGCGCAAGACGGAGGGAGAGGGAGCGAGCGAGACGGAGAAGGAAGACGCCCGGAGAGGGAAGAGGAAGCGACTGCGGGAGCGACAGAGATGTCGGTACGACCGTGACTGAGTGGGGGTTACTACGCGGTGGGGTTAAGAGGGGGCGAGATCCCCCACTACTTCGCCTCGTCCGCGCGCTCGGACGACTCCGACTGCCTTCGATTGCTCTCGACCGCAAGCAGGGCCGTCTAGTGTGCGGTTAGGCCTAACGCGGCTGGGAATTTCCCCCGTTATTAAAATTAACGGCCTAAATGCGGATCTCGATGCGCGGTCCGTGCGTCGTTTCCCCGCGACTCTTTGCGCACGTACGCTATGCGGCCTGCCTGTGTCGCGGTATAACGTTACAGCGATACTCACGCCGGTGCCATTCGAGGCACTCGAGGAAATTGGCGAATAAAGAGCTTCGAGCGAACGCGACCACGCTCGTCTTGAACGCGCTGTCTCGCGAACAACATGGATTCGCTCGAAACGACGATGTGCTTTCCGTTCGCTCAGCTCGCTCGCTCGCTTGCCCTAAGGCGGCCGTCGCCGCGGCCGTGGGTGGTTCGCGCGCCGCTTCTTCCCTCTCCGATTCTCCTCGCCTCTCTCCGCTCCTTCGGCCGGTGCGCTTTGCGCGCTCGTTCGCCCGTCTCGCGAGGAATTTCTAAAAATCAATATACGCGTGCGAGGAGACGAGAGAGAGAGAGGGGTTGGGAGGCAAGGAAAAAAAAAAAGAAAAATATTCGATATCTCCGTTCGCCCCGACTTCTTCTCCCCTCTTTTTTTCCCCGATGCGACTACCAGCTTTTCTTTTGCTTTTCTCTTCTTTCTCTCCTCCCGCGAAGCGAATCGCGCACACAGTCGACGGCGAGCGTCGGCCTCTTTTTCTTTCTCATTCTCTCTTCTTTCTCGGCGTAACCCGACATCGTCACGAACGGACGGGTAGAGACGGCCGGAGGAAAAGGAAGGGGGGGACCGATCGGTTTCAAGGAAGAAGACTCGCCTCGAAGGAAGTCGGAGGAGATCGCGCGAGGAGGGCCCGACGGAATCGCCGAGGAAGCGCGGGAGAGTTTATTTTCTCAGAAGCGCGCCGTGCACTTGGTATAGTCTCTGCCGCCCGAATAAATTCATTCAGAGGCGCGGGTCGAGATCCCCCCCTCCTCCTTCCCCGTCCTCCCACGTCACATGCACGACGCACACGCGGACACCGGATGGCAATTAAACGGGTTAACGACATTTCGGCTTACATGTTTGGCTGAACAATGTAATCTACACCCCGGCCGTTTAATTGGGACGAACGCGATGAAGTCGGACGTCGAGATCGCTTCTCACGCGCGCGAGAGGAAAGCAAGCGAAAATCTCTTAACATCTTTCCCCTTCCCCGTCGTATCGAGCCTACTTTTGCGACGACTTTTACGGCCTTTCGTTGTCTCGTTGTTACTCGGAAAGACTGCAGTGCTCGAGAATTATTCGACCGATCGACCTGTCCCGGAGACAAGCTTCAACTCCAAAGTGGTTCTGCGATTAATTTTAAATAGACCTTGACAGCAATCTAATTTCGAACTCGAGCGTCACGATACGGAATATTTGAAAACTGAGATTGGAAATTTCCGAGGTAACGTTTCTCGGTGAACGAATTCGGAGTCGCTGCTGTTTTAGTTACGAGCGCTCCGTCACCTTCGGAAACGCTCTTCTTCGTGATTCATCGCAAGTTTGTAAGCCGTTTATCAGTGTATAAATACGAAGTCCAGAATCGCGCTAGACAGAGTCCACCGATCGAAGCCGGCGGTGCACAACCGGGCCGAGGAGAGATATCGCGACCGGATTCTGTCGATTGTTCGATTCGCGCACGCTTTCACCTTTCTCTACTCCGGGCCCGATGCTCTTTTTAGAGTAACCCGTTTAAAATCGACGCTGCACAGCGCGATATTGCCCGATCCGCTTACGAGATCTTGGAGAAGGTCAAGAATCGCGAGTCTGCGAGATAGCCGATTGCGTCGTTCATCTCCGAGGGTCAACGAACAGATTTCACTCTCGTCGTAATTCTGCTATCGCGCCGAGCCCGTAACGATAAAAAATAATTGCGACACGAGGATTGGAATTAGATGAAATCTCTTCGCGGAGGATAATCAACTGCCAAATTATCAAGCGGATTCAAATGTAAGTCCCGACCGCGTCGATGAATTGTATCAAACTATTTCAATAAACCATCGCGATGATTAAAAAGACCCTGCTCTGTTTCCTCTCTCTTTCTCTCTCTCTCTCTCTCTCTTCCTTTTTCCTTTCCATACCTGTACTAATTATAACTAATTATAACTTCCTCAAGATACGATATTCATTTAACAGAAGCTGCGAAAATGTATCGTTCAATTCTCTTGGAGCTATGTATGTATAAGAGCGCGAGAAATTTCAGCAGTCGCATGTTTCTTCGATCTTCTTAAGGGGGAGGGGAAAAACGTCGCGTTTTCTTTCTTATGATGAAAACTGGTTTAGCAGGATGATAAGGAAAGACGGAGGATGAGGGGGGTAAAGCGTCAGAGTGCGCAGTATTTACCACGAATGGTAGAAGCGAGATGAAAGGGAGATCGTTGATCTTGTTTCGTTTCGATACGAAACGTTTACCTTGTAAAGAATACCAGGACCAAAATCCATCGCTTATCGTCCGGAAGTTCCGCCGAGCCGTGGGATTAAGCAGGAGAGGTCGCGTGTTCCCTGACGAATATCCCTTCGCAGGTCACACGCCCTGTGGAGGACTGCTTTAGGTCTGTACAACGCCGCTTTGCGGATTTGCGAAGCGGAATCCGCTTCTTTTTTTTTTCTTTTTTCTTTTTTCAAAGCGATAGTCGAGAGAGACTCAATGTCGATTTAGCTTAGGACTTCGATGGTACAAGAACGCGAAAACGAACCGTGTGTTTTGTAACGTACGGCGGGTAACGCGCTCTCGCGAACTTGTAACGTCGAAGAATCGGCTCGATGAAACGCGCCCGATTTCACTTCCGCATCGAGAGAATCGTATGGATACGTATGTCTCTGGTCGATCGTTAGTGGATAGAGATACAGCGAGGTTGTGAGTTATGGCGCCCATCGCACTCCAGTCGTAAACTCACGTCGTTACGTGATTAAAAGTACGGCACTACTTTAGCAAAGAGCGTATATATTCTAAGAGGAGGCTTCCATTTCGCAAGAGGGAGTGCCGATAATGAAGTACGTGCAGTTGGGAGCATAATATGGTAATTATAATGCATATATATATATATGTATAATATATATATATATAGTACATATATGTATATGTATATATGTATATATATATATCTCTCTCACACAATACACAGCACCCTAACCACAAGTACTCGCCCCTGAGTTTGTATGAGTAATTGTCTGAGGGTCTATTTATCTTGATAAACTTAACGTGGCAACCAAGCTGGACAGTAAAATAGCCGAAGCGTTGGTTTCATGTGCGCTGCTAGGGACCGGGAGGATGAGAAAGAAATATGCACGTATATCGGCTGGACCAAATGTAACGTATCACAGCCGCAGAGTGTGACACAGCACCGCCCCAAAAAAAGAAAGAATCGGGGGCCGACACCAGAGTTCGAAGACCGACTGTGTGCCGCTGTGTGTGTGTGTACATGTGTGTGGCGAGTGGGGGGGTAGGGCGGGGGTGATAAAAGGGGGGAATGATAATAGCGAATGCGGTTCATCAGCGTCCATAATCGCAACGAAAATCGCCCTCGGGCAATCGGCAACGCCGCGTTTCTCCGCGCGAAAAGGAAAAGAAAAAGGTACAAGAGATCGATTTCCTGTGCCGCGACAGAGAGCCGCGAGAGTTGTACACGCCGGCAAGTCGAGTGGCGTTTTGCGCGCGCGAGAACATACGACAAAAACAAAATATTAAAAAAAGGAAGAAAAACGAAAGAGAGAGAGAGAGAGAGAGAAAAGAAATAAAAAGAAACAGACGGGAGAACAAGAGATCGATTTCCTGTGCTGCACCAGCCAGCGTCGAGTTGCGTTCAGGAGTCCGTCGTTTCATGCTAAACGCCGCGGTAAATACCAGTCGATTTACCGGGATATTCTTTTTTATGGAACTGGCTCCGGGGATCGAAACCGGAATAATTTCGTTGAGGTCGCGCTCCGTAGTGGAAGGCGCGCGCGCGCGAAAATGACCTTCGCCTCTCGTTAATAGACGGCGGCGAATGCAGGCGCATTTTTCGCGACTGCTGCAGCGGAAAAGCGAACTCGCGGAATCGACACGCCGTCGAACCGACCATCGCCGATCGCGCGAGACCGGATAATATCTCGAAATGCTGTTGCTTTCCTTTATCACACTCGCGTAAAAGGCGGAAGATCGAAACCGGTAGGTATAACCTCGAAGTCCTTCTCGTTTTAGCCGCGCGAAGAATAATCTCCTCCTCGCTGGCGAAACGCGACGGTCGGCTCGACATCGCGCGCGGCAGGCGTTCCGTCTTTCCGCGTCCGAGGCGGCGAAAATCACCGGGCTCACACCGATTCGTCGTTCGCGACAGGTGTTAGATTTCCAGATTCGATTGCGGAAAATCGCCGATCGGCTCTCGTTTATCGCGCATTTGGCACCTACTTGCAATTCTCGGATGCTGCTGCTGCTGCTCGAACAGAGTGCTGGGAGGACAGTGCTTGCGAGAGAGGCGAAAAACAAGTAATAGTAGTAGAAGAGGAAGAAGAAGAAGAAGAAATAGAGAAGAATCGGCGTTACCTGCACGCTGAACTCACCAGGGGCCCTGCCGCTCGTGAGGAATCGGCCTGTGGTCCCGACCGGAAGCGCCCGGAAGTCAGTTGGCACCGTGGAGAACGCTCAGCCAATCCCGCGCCACCTCCTTTAGCGAGCGGGGGCTTGGGATTGGCTGCTACCCAGCCTCAAGGCCGCTGATGCTTCTCCTTGCCCTTTCCAGCAGGCCCCGAGTGTTGTACTACATGGCCGTGCACGAGGCCCGGAGAACAGCTATCGGGGTGGCGACTCCGCGATTCCGCCGCTCTGGAAAAATGCTGGCGCTTCGATCGGACTGTCGGCGCGGCGAAGCGGCGGAATTGCCGGGTCTCTCACTACCCGATGGACGGAGCGGTGCGTGTCGCGATATTGTGTCTCCGTCGATCGGCACTGCCGGTGCGAGCGAGCGAACGTACGTCGCGCGCGCTCTCGGACATCCAACGGGTACTTTGAAATGTTCGACGAGTCGCTTGGATATCGTCGGGAACGTCCGTTGGATAGCCGAGGCTGTGGAATAAACGCCAGTCTCGTAACGGGGCGGGGAGGGGAAAGGACTGTCATTCTTGTAGGCGATCTTTTTTCCATGAGTCCTTACGATCTACCCGCGTGTCGACGGCGTCGATACAATGCGCCGATAGAAACCGTGGAGGGGGAGGAGGGGGAGGACGGGGGAGAGTGCACGCCGATCGTCAAAAGCCACGATGCCAGATTGGAGTATAGGTTGGATTAAAAAAAAAATGCCCTTACAATTTTGTTTCGCTGCGTATCGAGCCGGTATATATTGATGCACAAGTCAGGCCAGATCGTGCCTCCGTGTCGGAGAGGAGAGCTCCGTCGGTGGCGCATAATTTTTGCAAGAGACGGTTGTCGTTTAACGGTGCGCAAAATCGGATCTCCGCATCAGTGCGTCGGATGCACCTCCGAGGCGCGTAGCGTGCGTGAAGCGTGTTGCGCAAGAGATACACCGGCGGGACCGATCTGCCGGTGAATTTTCGACGGGCGGCAGAAGAACGGCGTCGAACGCGAGAGACCGCGGCGGTGTAGAAAATAAGAGGAACGAGCGGTCCGCGCCTTCTCGTCTAAGCCGTGTTAATTGATCGGGTCAGCTGTTAAATTTAGCGTATGAAACAGTACAAGTACGTATAACGCGGTATATACGAGGTGTTCCGGAAATCACGCGCGCTTCCTCTAGAAAAGTCTCTTCCGCCGTCGATCTAGCACGTAACTCCGCCGATTATCACTGATTATCAACACGTCGGCCTTGTGATTACCGAACAATCGCCACGCTAGATAGTCAAGCCTCTAAGTAAGGAAGCAGGCGCGTTCGGGGACACCACGTATAAGTGCATTTAACTAACGTACGGCAATCGGCCATGTGTGCGCACGAGTCACGGACTGTCGACGGCCGCCCTCTTCCAAACGAAAGGGCGAGGTGGAGTGCCAGCTAGGCAAACAGCCAGCCGCGGCCGGCCAGGCCAGCGAGCGAGCTCCTGGATTTTCGTCCACGGCGAGAGAAGGCAGCGTCGCTCTCCCTCCTTACTTGGGCCGTGTGCGGGGGTGATTTTCGGGGAGGCAAAAATATTCCAACTTCCAACTGTTGCGCAAATGGCGAGGCGCAAACGCAGTTTCGAAGGCGTGGCAATCGACAAAGGGCCCGGAAGCGGCCGATAACGTGCCGTTTTCCATTCCCCCTCCTGTATCTTCCTCTCTCTCTCTCTCTCTCTCCTTTTCTCTTCCCCTTGATCTTTTTTTCGCTGCCTCGTTACGCACCACCTGCGGAGTAGGATGCAGCCTGGCCGCAGAACAAACGAGTAACGTGCCTCCGCTCCAGTCGGGAACGCGGGACTCACAAGCACGCGACGGCGGGGCAGGAGAAGCGAGACGGAGGAAGCCGCGGCGTCGTCCAACGAGGGGCCTCTTCGGTGCGAGCAACCGGCATGGGCGTCTGGAATTCGAGACAAAGTCGTCTTTATCACAATTGCTGTTGAGAGACGGCCCTCGCTTCATCGCCTCATCGTTCACTCCCCTTTTCTTTCTCTCTCTCTCTTGCTTTCTAGCTCTCCGGATTCTATCTCTCTCGCATACACGCATATATATATATATATATATATACACACACACATACCTACACACGCAGGCTTCTCTCGACCATTCTTTTGCTCTCTCTCTCTCTCTCTTTCGCTCTTTTTCTCACACACTCTTTTTCTCCCTCTCGCTTACTATCGAGACTGCCCGACGCATTTTCCGTGACGCACCGCGCACGATAAAACGCTCGCCCGCCATCGTTTCTCTTCCTTAGACTACCGGACGACAAAAAGCCGCGCTAACCTAGAAAGCGCGCGCGACGTCCCGCCGTGAGGAAATCGACCTTCTCCTTCTCCTCATCGTCGTCTTCATCGCCACCGTTGTCGTCGTCCGTCGTGGCACGATGCACCGCGCGATCGATCCGTCGCGTGAATTTATTGCCTCTTTACTCTCCTTCTCTCTCTCTCTCTCTCTTAGCAGCGACGAACGCGCACACGCACGCACGCACAGACGGATGCTACGGCGGAATATGCGGAACGTCGAGCGGTCGTTGGAGGAAATCGCGAGATTTCGACGCGGACGCTTCGGCAGCCGCGACAACAGCTAGGCGCGCGTTTCGTGCGTAGCGACTCTTCGTGTCGCGCGCCACTCGACGCGATACCACGGCGACGACGACGGCGGAGGTAGAGCGGTGGCGGTGGAAGCGGCGGCGGCGGTGGCGACGGACGATACCGACGCGACGAACGGACGAGCGATCGAACGAATGGGAAATACATAAAGGCTGACCTTGGTGCGCTGCACTTCGTCGGCGACGGTGTTCCGGGTTCGCCACGAGACACGTACGACTTCCGACGGCCGACGGCGTGACGGAACGGAGAACGCGATTCTCCCAGCCATGGTAAGCGAGCGCGCCGACGGAACGGCGTCGGTCCCGTGCCTTTTCCTCCTTTTTTTTTTCTTCTTATTGCTCTTTCCCGACTCGCTCGCTCGCTATGACGCACGAGCTTATGGTCGCGATCGATAGGTTTTCCGCAAAAGCCGACGGAACCGAATCGTCCGTCGTCATGAACGAGGACGCGGTCGCGGCGACGAGAGGTGACCGAGACGAGGCGAGAGGTCGGAACGATGACGGGGCCGAGAGAGAGGCGCGGACTGACGTTCGCGTTCCTAACCTCAAAACTTGGCGCTTTTCAGGACGTCTCCGCGTTCTCCGAGGACAACTTCGACGTGAAGGAATGGATCAACCGGACGTTCAAGTCCGCCGAAGCGCAGGAGAACAAGGACGTAAGTCACCAGGTGCCAGTCCCCTCTGCCGATTTCCGCTTTCCCTCGCTTTTCGAATTTTCGCCTCGCGCTCGTCGCCGCAGTGACGCTCGGCCGCCGAACTGACGGACGCGCACCGCACGCGGCGGTCAATGACACCGCAGCCGTCTTTTTTAAAACGTAACTTTTTTTTTCTCTCTCTCTCTCTCGACGCTGACGCAGGCACCGGTGATGTCGGCTGATAAGCAACACTTCTGACACTCGCGTGTCTTTCGCGCGTTTGAAAAAAACGAAACATTACCGACGAACAATTAATGCGATCGCCCGTGGCAGCACACGCGCATATTTTTCCATATATGTATTTTCTCGAATGAATTATTATGCAGATACGAGTTTTCATAAATCCTTCCCGATTACCTATCGCGATTTAAATTCAAGTGACTCGTTACTATTGTAATAGTATTAGGAAAAAAGAAATGTCAGCTTTATTTTGACGGCTTTTATCTTTAATCTTAAACCAGAGGATAAAGTTGAGTTCGCTCTTGTAGGCTTTTGTTTCATCATTGGTGATGAAGCTGCAATTGTACGTGCAACAAGTTAACGGTGCCTTGGAGGAAACCAGTCAATCCGTGCTCTCCAGCTTACCAAGGATTTTGAGAGACACTCAACTCTTACAGCAGGAGACACTAGCGCTTAGAGAGAAAATGGTCGCTGTAAAACAAGAAATCGCCAAGGTCTGTGCGTCCGGATTGTTCGGCCGGATGTTCTGCTTGATTTTGCGTCTTGTAATAACTTGAAACACACGTTGGAAATAGGTTGAGAAGGATACCGCTTCTTCCATGGCGATGTTGGAAAAGATTGACAGAATAAAAACAGAACTGCAAACTGCTAAGCAAGGACTGCATGAGGCTGACAATTGGACAGTGTTGGCAAATGATGTGGAGGAGGTACGTGAACAGTTTTATTTGTCTCTTGGTGATAAACTGTGACGTGTGATAACTGTCGAACTTAATTCTTCTTTACCCCGATGAAAAAACAGGTCTTCGAGTCTGGAGATATAGATGCTATATCTAATAAATTGTTCAGCATGCAGAAGTCTCTGGCCATGCTCGCTAACGTGGTGGATTACGAGGATAAAAAGCTGCAACTGGAAGGCTTGAAAAATCGCCTCGAGGCAATGGCCAGTCCACGATTAGTCCAAGCGTTTACCGCTGCCAACTTAGGTGAAAAATTCTGTAAATTATAAATAAATGAATTTGTCGTCTCGTGCAGGATGTTAATCTAATACGGATGTCGTGTTGTATTTAGAGCAATCCAAAATTTACGTGGACATTTTTAGCAAGATGGAACGTCTGCCTCAGCTCCTCAAATATTATCACAATTGCTTGAAGGTCTCATTGGGACAAGAATGGAGACGCACTATCGAACTAGCTCAAGACGAGAACGTTACGTATTGGTTGCACACGTATTATGACAAACTGTTATCCTCCTGGCACGAGCAGGTATGCATTCTCTCCCGCAGCTTAAAATATTTTTATTATTACCGGCAAATGTTTCCTGTATCTACTTGTATTAAAGGTGAAATGGTGCCACCAAGTGTTTCCCAATACTTCGATAGATATCCTCATCGAGGTCTACGCTGACCTTTTGAGAAGCCTAGATCCCGGTATCCCGGAATGTATAGAGGCGGTTCTGAAACAACATTCCAATGCGGTGCAATTGTCCATACTATTAGAACTGAAGCAGATGACGAGACACTTCGCCGTGAATCTGAACGGCGCTATCGAGACGTCGCTTCGCGTAAAATCGCAAAACGAGAAGCTACTGCCGCTGGCGCAGGCTATATACGCACCTTACGCTCCTTACGTCGCCAAATATAGTACGTTTGAGACCGCGCAGCTGGAACAGCAACTCCAATTTTTGGATCGTTCGCACGACGACCTGAGTGACACCATTAATTCCCTCTCACTTAGCATTTCTCGGGTCATGGGTTACGCCAACGAAGCCAATAAACGGTGTAAGCTTTTCACGGAAGGTTGCGGGTATCCTGGTTTACTGCACTCGTTAAATGTATGTTTATACCAACATTCCTTTTTCGTGGACGCGGTGAATTCCCATTCTATCTTTTTCTCACGATATTTCGCAGATTTACTTCAATAAATATCTAGAAAAGTATCAGCAAGGTCTACGGCAACTCGAACGAAGGAAGGTGAAGCACGAAGATTGGAATTTGTTCCAAATGTGTCTTACGTTGATGCAAAATATAGGTAATTATTGCCCGATTTCGGGCGTATCGGACGTTGCAAGCGTCAATTTAATCGATTTCATTGCTTCGCTGTGTTACGCAGGTGATCTCTTGCATCAAGTGCAACAATTCGAGAAGTCGCTGGTGATCGATATCACGGAAGCTAATAACAAATTACAAAGTACAAATGGCAGTGTTTTCTGTCATTACAAGAAATTGTTGCTAAGTGCGTCGGGATGCGCCGATCTGGAAAATTTAATTGCGTCTTTCCAACGAGGTACGTACGTTCAATGATGATATGATAATATCTACAATAGAATCATAGTTTAGAATAAACGCATAAATGATCGATTGTTTTCCTTACAGAGGACAAGACTATCCTCGATTCGATCATAAAATCAATTCAAAAACTCTGCTCCGATTTGCATCACACTACTTACGAAGTCATCTTCGCCCCGATATTTTCTCAGTTGCTGTTGGTGCAGAAAGCACCAGCCTGGTCATTGGAGGCCAATAAAATGTCCAATCTGAGCTCGGATCTGCCCGATTACAGCTTCGCTCCGCAAGAATACATTACGCAAGTCGGACAGTATTTAATGACGTTACCACAACACTTGGAACCATTTTTACTGAGGGACAATCCGAGTCTAACGCAAGCGTTGAAGGCAGCAGATCCTCAATACGCCCAAGGATCGACTGAATCGGGATTCACCGGCATACTCTTGGACATCGTTGCTCGAGGAACGTGCCAAATGTTTCAGGATCAAACCTTGAGTATCTGTCAATTGAATTCTGTTGCCTGCAAGCAACTTGCGACAGATATCGGTGAGCTTCTTTATTATTATTATTATTTTCAAAGAGACAGAATTATAAATGAAAGTTACATTGTATATTTTACAGACTACCTCGGCAATGTCTTAGAAGAACTCGGCCTGAGTTTATCGGAGAATCTGCAACATATGTCATTATTGCTGAGATTACTACCGGAAGATTATCAGAATGGTAGTTCTGGGTGTAATGCCCGCGTTGTAGCCGCGGTTAGGCAAATGCGTAATATTACGTCTTCCGGCTGACACAAAGCGCACTTGACAGGACGGTGTTATAACATGAGAATCTGTACTCAACATATTTTCGATCAAGCAGTAATCGCTTATAACGTATGTCCAATTATTTTCGTAATTTAAAATTAAATTATGATTGCAATTCACACTAGTTGAAGACAAAATATCACTTGCTCATTATCATTGAATTATATTATTGAAGATATGTTGTATTACTTGAAAATAAAAACTTGTTTGATTATTGAGTGGCATTATATAAAAATTAATACTTCAATAATGTCCAAACATCTCGATTCCAATTATCTAGAGAAGCACTAGTTTTGCATCGATTCATTACTAATTTTTGTAATTAATATATCTGCAACTAGCAAAGTCAATGAGGGTTGTGTGAAAATTAGTTATATTGCCTCTAGATCTTGTTTACAGGTATTTCGGTACCATGTATTTGGTGACTTTGAAATCAGAATGGTTTGATATGAATATCATTCCGATTGGTCACTACCTCACTACATCTTTTCCGTCCGCTTTTTCATTGCCATGTGTGCGATACCCTTAAATTCGCGTCATACGATGCTTGTTTTCTTGATAGACTTAGTAACATACTAAAAATTAACCAATCAGAACGCAAAATTTATAATATGATACTAAATCTCACTAAATCTATCAAGAAAGCAAGCTTCGTGTGATGCGGGATTTAAAGCCCGGCAGAAGATAAATATCGATTGTATAAGAACGCTATTTCACGTATCGAACGACGAGTTTGTCGGATATGCTAACTGGCTATTGGATAGAGAATTTGTAGGATCTAGGAGAAATGTTAGGGACCCCGGAAATTTTCTATCCGAGAGCCAATCGGCACATCCGACAAACTCGTCATCCGACATGTGAAATAACACTCTAGTGCCCAGTTCTACCATCATAGTTTAAATTTGACCAACAATTAATTCAACGGAATTGACCAATCGCACTGATCAGTCAAGATCACAGACAAGTCAAAAGTTCTTTGATTTTTTTAGTAGTACGATTCAAGAAGAACTTTTATTCCTTAGTAAGACAATCCGATGAACTTTTGTTCCAATAAACCTCCATATTCCAATAAACGTAGAGACAAAAATGATGAAAGTTCTTCTGACCTGATGATGAATTATAATATAAGAAGGAACTACTTGAAATAGAGGATGTTATTAGAGCGCATAATATGTAAATAATCATCACGTATATCGCACTCCAATATCATTTATTCACTACACTATATCTGAACTGAAGTACTGCTAAACCGATCTCATTTCGCATCTTCGATAATTTTTCGAGAACCCCAGAAGCAGAGTAACTTTACACTAAAAGTATTCTCGATTTTGTTTCTTCTCACTCTTTCCGCCGAGAAAGTACATAATTGGTAAAACAAATTATAAAGTTCGCAGCACCATAAGAGCTCGGGACACACAATTTATGCGCCGGAGGCGTAATACTTACAAAGAACAAGTGATATATAAGATCTAGGAAACCGACCGTATTTAATAGCAGTAGAGAGAGAAATTTGTAGTTGAGCTTCTTTTCTCTCACCCACACACTCGTGCAAGCACACACGCACACATACGCGCATGCATACTCACATACGCATACGCGTGTGTCCATCTACGCACACACATATACACATATACTCTCTTTCTCTCTTTTATCACATACGCTCACACATATAAAGTTCGGGACAAGTACGAATTAACGTTTCTCAACGTGTCGCGTTAGAAGATGCAAGTAAAATGCAGCAAATGTGGTATCTTAATTTCGAGCGAACATTATTATATTTGCTTTCGATAAAAATATCTATTCCGCGTACATGGCTGTGTCAATAACAATACGATTATTCCCTCATATCGATCACATTTACACAATTTTTACATACACTTCGCGAAGTGAATCAGAGCATTTGCTACATTTTGCTTTGCCGATTATACATCGTGAACTTCGCTTAGAACATATACACGTAAAATCAACAATCATTAGTCGAGTAACAAATCGAGTATCTCGCTCGATCAAGCGATTAACCAATACCAAGTAACGCCACGTCCCGCGTTCTTTCCTCTCCTTTCTTCCTCTTTCATTCTTTTTTTATGTTCATGTTATATGATACTGTTAATTTTGTCTAAGCTACACAATAAACGTTTAAAATACGGCACGATAAACTATATATACGAATTGATTAACGTATACTAATTAAATTCAAAGTAATCGTAGCACTTGTGCGTAAGTCTTCTACGGCGTACGTTGAAACCGTTCGCTGTAATGAAAGAATATATCGTACACCGGACACCATGTATGCTTTAGCATCACAACTAACACACGTTGCTTGTACGATTTCCAACTTTACACATACGTGAACCTCTCAAAAGGCAAACCAATCAACTCTATTTTTTTAAATTTCTTAATTTTATCACCAGAACGCACATGTGTCATCAGTGCTTGACTTTACAAAATTTAAAAAAATTTACAAAAGGTACAGTTGATTAATTGGCTTCTAGGAGGTTCACATTGTAGATTGAAGATTGGAAATTCTTGCGAATATATGTTGACGAATATATGACGCCTGACATACGAAATATATGCAATCGCGAAAATTAGTTTGGGTGAACGTTTACGTCGTGCGTTACGAGTCAAGCGAGATAAATTCTAAACACGACAGAACCGATACGAAGAAGTTAGAAGTACAGCCAGTGTCCGTACGATATTCACTACCAAGTGCGCATTAGTATTTCGCTTTCGGATAGATTGCGAGTGCGTGAAAAACATAATAATCATTTCATTAACGATGTCCCTAACGTAATTTGTCAGAAATTAATTACGACGAATCGTTGGTCCTTACGCAGAATCGTGTCACCTTCCCCTACGGTCCTCGAGGGGGTCGCGCCACTCCTCGAGCTTTCGAACTTGCGCGAAGTACAATTCAAGCTAATACAATTCGCAACAATCTTTCGCGACGCACACCGCATAATCGTAGTTATTGGATACAGTCCGTCGAACGATTACTATTCGGTAACAAAGGGGAATCGCGTGGCACTATTTCAATATGGCCTGAGTCTCTATTTCATTTCCTCTGCTGACTAGACTTAATTTGTTCGATTACGATATTATCAAAGTCGTTCTACGTAATTTCACAGTCGCTGGATGCAAGATACCTCGATCGTTTCCGCGGCGATCACGTCTCAAACGTGCTCTCGCCGTTTAGTGTCGTCGTGTTGCTTTCGTTCGCGGGAACGACTTATTATTTTCCTACGTCGTTCGTGACTACCATCGCGAGTATGGCAAGTTTCGTAACGTTATAATCAAAGCCTATTCGTAAGCAGATATACTGCGTGCAATATGTATCAAGTTCTCCTCTACCAGCACTACCGAAACGTTTACCATATAAAAGCTAGAACTCACTCACGAGGTTTAGGATACGTACATACGGGGAAATTATCGAACGTAAGACTTTGGGATGACTGTGAGCAACGGTGTTATCGCGACCCGGCCATCGGAGTTCGATAGAAATATATTTATACGTCTCTCTCTCTCGCCGGGAAATGACGAGAGGCTCTCGAAACAATTTTTCTCACGCATATCCGGTAAGCTCGAGAATAAATCAAAGCGAAGAGGGAAAGAGAGAGAGAGAGAAATTGAAATTTTCTCTATACGATGAAAGATTAACGATCCAGAAATGAAATCGATACAATCGTAAAGGCTGAATCAAAAGAAATACTGGTGCTCGAGACATTAGCGGTATACATATCGCGCGTTTCGCCTAATCGTTGAATCGCTGCTGACCCGTATGTGCCCGTGTGAACTCGCTCGTGCAAAATTAGATTCGCACGCTGACGAAGATTTTTTTTTTATTTCCTCGAAGAAGAAACTTGGTCTTATTCCTTGATGCGGTCAGCAGCAGGTAGGTTTCATGCCACTTTCTTCTTGCTGGTCTTCTTACTACGAGGCAGGGTAGCGAAACTCGTTATCTGAAATACAGGAAAACGTAATATCACTGGTTCGTCATGCCTATCGCATGTAACTCACAGGCGGCGTAAACAATCCGTGTTTCTTTTCATTTCATCGCGTTTTAACTGGAAACTGATTAGCAGACCGCGAGAAATACGGAGGAGGAAGGGACAAGCGCATTTCGCATTTCCAAAATCGAAAAGACCTCGGATTAAGGATTGATCGCGCGACAGGCGCATCGTACGTAGAGAAAGTCAATCGTAATGGTAAATCTCAAGCGTCAGAGCCACAGCTTTTCCATCTCGCACAAGCGAATCATGTCGTGGGGTTCCAGAAGTGTTACATAGAGGTTAGTCGTGTTATAATACGCCATGTCAGAAATTAACGATCATGCGGGGCAGATTACTGCCACGGTGTTACAATTAAGGGAGTCGGAGTTAATCGTTGGATTAACAAGACACTCAGAAACTAGTCCATACGATCTTAGACGGATCAGTCCATCTCTTCTGCCTGGATTTCCAATTAAGACAACGTGAGGTGCGGGATACGAGGTGGGAGGAGGGACAAGCTCTTCTCGTATACGTCGAAGTATACGTCAGACAAAACGGGTACACGCAATTAAATATTCCAAGCGCTCGAACATCCGGATTCCGCAGCGAGGCGCTCTTAAATGTCGGTGACGATCTCTTTCCTGCCAGCGCGGACCGAAATCTCGCGAACCTCCGGATCGGATCTATTTCCGGCGCTCTTCTTCCCGAGCATCCCCGTATTCTTCATCGCGTCTTCGTCGACCTTGTCGATTTTCTCAAGACCCGCCTCGGCTTTGCCCAGAGCTACGATCCTCCGATCAGCTCTCTCCGAATCGATATTCTTCTCGGGATCCCCGTCATCGCGCTCCGGTCTCAGCGGGATTTCTTCCACGTCGGCCCCCTGCTTCGAGGGGCTCGGCAGTTTCGTGGAGGCGTCCACGAACATTTGCGAGCAGACGCTATCCGACCGCGACGCGGACCCGCTAGTCTCGGAGAACGTGGAGCTGGAGTCCTCCTCCTTGGAGGAGGGCTCGTTCTGCTCCTTGTGGAAGGCGCTGTGGAAGATGTTCTTCGGGATCGTCAGTAACTTGGAGAAGCTCTCCTTAGCGCGCAGCCTGCCGGACTTCTTCTTCCTCTTCGTCGAGATGGTGTCCGGCGCGTGCGCCAGGAAAACGTCCTTCTTAACGTCCGCGTTGGAGAACGTCCTCAACGTTCCGGTCTTAATGACCAGGGTAGCCTTCAGCGCGCTCTCGGCCTCGTCGTTCTCCTGGACGTCGTCTTCCTGGTCCACCAGCGGCGCTCTCGGGGCGGGTTTCTTATGGTACTTCCCGGCGCGGTTGTCACCGTCGAGATTGCAAGTCGACGAGCTCGGCGTGACGGCACGCTGGACGTCGCGTTCCTTACCTTCGCCAACCGTACTCAAGTCCTCCCGCGAAGACACGATGCCGGTCACCGCTCTGTGCGCATCGTCCAACAATTGCTTGAGCTGGTCGAATCTCTGTTGGCAGATGTCGTCGGTGACGGGAGCGACGTCGGGGAGCGATGACGGAAAGACTGTTCGATCGGCCTTCACCTCGTCGTCGATGTACTCGATCGGCGAGTCGGCCTCGTCTCGCCGGAAATCGGATTCCTTCACGGAAACGTGCTCGCTCTCGGGATCACTCGTCGGTCCTCTCGCTTGGTCCGCCACGTTGCTCTTCGTCAACGCGGCCACCGGCAAATTCTCCGTCGAGATGTTCTCGATCTCTATAGTCTGCACCGTTTGCGAGTCCACGTCGACGAAATCGCCGTTCGATTCCGCCGACGACGACGACTCGTCTATTTTCGCTGCGGATCGATTCGCGTCCGCGCTTCTCTCGCCGTTATCGCCGCGCGTCGCCGTGCACTCGAGAGTCTGACGATCTTTCGAGTTGTTCTGAGAGAGCAACAGCAAAAGCTCGAGAGCTTGTTCGGGAGTGAGGAGATTCAGGGACGACGGGAGGGATGTGTTTTCGAGAGGTGAAAGATCGATGCGGTCGAAATCCTCGTCCCTGTCCTTCAAAGACCACAAAAAGAAGTACATATCATTAACCGAGCCGACAGGTGATCGGTGAGAGCGATGTGTGACGCTTGTTTCGTATGTATATCTCGGTTTTCGCAAACCGGTGTGTGTACAGCTACTGTTTCCGCTTACTTCTGGCGTCTTCTTCGCGGTGGAACGAGGCTTCGCGCGCGTTCTCGCGCCCACGCTCGACGTTCTCACTAAGGAGTCACCCTGAGAGATCGCGCGATGAGACTGTAGCGCCTCGCCGCTGCTGTATCCACTAGATATGTCGTCCGAAGACCTTATATTTCTGCAAAACGCAAGAGGAATCGCGTTATCTCGGCGACGACTCGAGGTGGTACCGACGACAACTCGCCGACACGTACGTTAAACTAGCTATGGGTTCTCTAGGCCTTGGCTGTCGAACGTCGACATCCACTTCGGAAAAATACATCTCTACTCGATTGCTGCTGGACTGGGTCCTGCGAGGGCTATAGCCCCTTCTGCCGACGTGCTCTCTTCGACGAGGTTCTGCTGCAATCGTGATCGTGGGGATTTACTTATCTAAAATTGCGCGGTCGCAATTTCTCCCGGGCAATACAAAGCGGAGAGAGAGAGAGAGAGAGAGAGAGAGCACCCTCGTTTACCCTCGCCCAAAAATCGCCCACTTAATCGGAACGACGCCGGGAATCAGCCGTACCTTGCATGTCCGTCTCGTCGTGCGTGTCGGGTGTGTTTCTATTCTCATCCTCCTTCTCGCCGGTCAGATCGCTGAGGCTGTAACTTTTCCTCAATTGCTGCACCAGCCCGCCGCCGCCCTGAAAAGCGAAGTTGCTCGTGAAGTGTTGCGTGTTCCGTAAACAGTGCGGTCGACGTTCTACATAATTTACTTAGTCGCGAAAGAAAGAAGGAGAATCAAATAATTCAAACTCAATCGAGATTAAGTGAAAGAAACGAAAAAAATAAAAATCTTACCAACCAAGGGGGTGTTAATGTGTTATCTGCCGTCACCGGTACAGACGACGAGTTTCCCTTTACGCCCTGCGCGAACGGCGGATTTTCGACAATCCACAGGCGATCTCTTGCTTTTTCCCTAGCTTGCTCGCGCGTACATGTTTCTTTGATTTTTCTGTTAATCATGCTCTGTCCAAGAAAGCGCGAGTACTCGACGGTACAGTGAGTGTGGTGCGTGAGTAGTGTCGCATCTATGTAGCGCGCGTTTTGAAGCAATTAGTTCGATTAACGTGTGTGTGTGTGAGCTCATACTTTCAAAAAAGGGTGCGCTGCTGAGTGAGAGAGAGAGAGAAAGAGATAGAGAGCGGGCGAGAGCGAGAGAGAGAATTAATGGCAGCGATTAAATTTGTACACGGGATATAGAAAATGAGAGACCGGCAAGACACGCGTGACCGGAGCGCGACAGTCGCAGCGGGATGAAGACAAAATAGAGGATCGGGAGCTCGTCCAAGTATGCATTTATTTGAGAAAGAAAATCAACTCATAATGAATAGAGAATCTTCAGGATCTGGGTACAAAAATCTTACTCGCTAAAATCGCTCGAGAGCGCTCGATCTCGCGCTCGTGGAAAAATCACGGCGACAAATCCCGCGGGGAGAGGCAGTAAGACGTATCGTCGTTCTTGTCGCAGAACTGACAGTCATCTGTACATTCTTCATCTATATCGATTCCTCGTAGAGAATCGAGAAGTACACGTTACGTACGCATATGTGTGTGTGTGTGTGTGTTTTCTTCTACGCGGGTGTTACAGTTGAAGTGACCGTTACGCAATACAACGGATATAATATGTGGTTATCCTGGAATAATACGCAATTATTCTGGAATAATACGTAGTTATTCTGGAGCACGAGGCGATTATATGTACTTCAACTGTAACGTAACACGCGAAAGCGACTCAACGTCGCGCGAGATGCGTCGCGAACGGTGTGTGACACGCTTTTTCTTCTTCGCTATCGTCGTGTCGTCTTTTCGCATCGGACGCTCTTATCGCCCTGTCAGAGCCTGTTCAGAGCCTGCATCTCCGTCGTTCGTTCGTCGCGGGGATAGCTTTTATTGCCATGTTTTTCCAAAAGCGCGTAACCTAAGGCAAATGCACGTTTATCGATAACTCCGCGGATGAAAATGCAAACGTGATGACGAGAGCAAACACAAACATGCGATTCACACTACTATGACGACGACGACAACACGTTGATGATTACGCTGGCGAGCGAATAATCATACTCATTGCGTCTCATTGCGTACGCATTATTCGGTCGTATCGCGAGAACCTGCGTCTTCTTCGGAATCGAAAACGCATAATTTATCAAACGCATCGCGGTACACGGTCTCGGACATGATGCAACACGCGATTGCGTGAACAAGAGTCACGCGAATCAATCCGGACAGGATTTATTGTCCATATATTTGTATATAGCAGCACTGATTACGATGAAAAGTCGGAAAATATATATTCGTTCGGTTAACGTTGAATTATATTAAAAAATGACGTTGGTGCGATCGGACCAAAGTGACAGCTGAGTGTCCTGACTGCACTATGCTCACTCGTCACTCATCGGAAAAGAATCACAAGACACAACCGGCACGTTACGAAAAATAATCTGTATAATTGTCCTTTACAATGTATACATTCGAATTTTCAATCGGTATAATGAAATTTTCTCGAGTGAATATAATACGACACTCGACTTCTCCGACGATTTCTCTCGATTGTCATTCTTTAACTCGTGTTATACATCGTCGCTCGTTTTACGATTGATGTTAATAACGACAATCTGAGATAAGGATAAAAATACTGAGGTCGACTATATGTGAAAGATCATACTTAAAGCTACCTTATACACTGATCAAAATGATCGTGATTTTTGTAAAGGTTCTAGAATCGAAGTTCACGTGGAAAAGTACAAATCGTAATAAGGCACTCGAGTAAGTAGAAATTGGCTTTAATGAGTATTTCCTAATCGAAGATATCATGAATATAAATGAAAATCTTCCTACTAATTACAAAACATCGAAGCCTTGAAATTTTCGATCCTTCGCTAAAAAGAAAAATAAAAGGACAGTAATACGAAGTCTATTATTCTCGGCTTCTCTTACAAATCGGAACATATATTCCTTTGTTCGCAATTAAACAATCACACATAATATATATATAATTTCGATACTCATATCAATTCAATATACGAATCAAAATTTAAGAGTAAGATATTCATTAAGATATTCATTATAAAGGGCTATATTTAGTCACAGTTCATTGTGAAACCATGACAGAAGATTTCACCTCGAATACGCATAAAAAAGACGCAAAAGGCAAACCCGTGGTGGATCGTACAGAAAAAAAAAAGAAAGAAAAAGGTATCAAAGTGAGCATACGATATGCTCAGAGCTCTAACATCGATCTTCAAAAGGTCTCGCGGTTCCTTCCGCGCTCGAAGAAGGTCCCTCGATTATCGTTCGTAATCGTGTAGACACGAGCCTTCCGCGAGCCTCTTTCTCTCTTTATTTCTCTCTCTCGTTTTCGACGAAATCGCCCATCGTCGCTGTCATTCCGAGGACCGGACGATCTGCAACTTTCGTCGAGATTCATCAAGTTCATAATTTACAATATATATGCGAAAGCATTCGTCTCTTTAGTCAAGCTCGGCGTCGTCGCTGAAATCATCCATGTTGTAACTCTTTGAGGTCGACTTGCAGGCTCGACTTTTCTGTCGTCTGACGGGAGCCTTCTTGAATTTCTTTGGCGATGGTTTCTTAGGTCTCTTAAACACTACGTGTTCCTCTTCCTCCTGCTGCTGCTGTTGTTGTTGCTGCTGTTCTTGCTCCTGCTCGCCCGACACCTGCTGCTGTTCGTCCGGCTGCTGTTCGCTCGGATCTGGCTCGTCCAAATCGGTGTCCGTGCTGTACGTCTCTAACATATACTCGTCCATCGACAATTCGTGATCCGTCAGTGCTATCAAAGATTCCATCTTCGACTCAATAGGCCAGCTGTCGTTCTCCCTGTCGTTGCTGCTCGAATGATCCAGGATGTCTGTGTCCGTTAATCTCGTCGCCGTATTGGGGTTGGCTAAGCTAGAAATCGCCGGGTCTGATTGGCGATCGAGGACTATATTCGTCATGATCGGGGTCATGACCGAGAGATACTGTCACGATGCCAATTTTGTATTTTGTTTTATTTTTTTATTTGATTTTATTTTTTGCGTTCGAATCGGCTAGCAATTCGGCGTGGTCGTGGTGGTGGTGGTGGTAGTTGGTTGTTGTTACGGGTCAGTGGCGGAGTGTTGTTGTTGTGCAGTTGACGACGGTTCGGTGTAGACAGATTTCTTAAGCAACGACAGTTAAGGTGGGTGATGGTTAGATGCTCGGCGTTTGCCGTGCGCGGTATTGCGAATGGCGATGATCGTTGTTGTTTATGTTTTTGTTTGTTTGTTCGTTTTTTCGATTTTTTTTTTTTTATTAGAGGCAGATGCGGTGGCGGCGATGCGGCGGTAGTGATAGGACGATGGCGTGCAGGAACGCGTAGGGACAGAACGAAAACAGAAAAAATCAAGAACACGTAAAATCATTAGTGGGCGGTAATCGAAATCGGGCGGATAGAAGTTTTATGCGCGTGGGTCACAATGAAGAAGCGAGAGCTCAGGCTGGTTAAAGTTCGAGACGTCAAACGAAATAAAGCATTCCCAGATACCGGCGAGCTTTTCCCGAAGAGAAGATCCCACGCGTGAAAATTAATAGCTAATAACCGTTCTGACGGCTACGTTCAGCTTGTAAATAATACGTTACAGTAAACTACCAAAAAATGCACGTATTACTACCGATAATTCGTTGGAATATTAAATCGTCAAAATTTCCACAAGACGGAAAACCCTTCCTCAAAAACTGCCGGTTCCTCTTATATCTACACACGAGGTGTTCCAAGCTATCGTCCCAAATGTCAGCGGTGGATTCTTCACGGAGGTCGGTTTCGAATACGCCCTCGCGCATGTCGAAGAATTCGCAGGCGAGAAGAGCGACGATAGTTTCGATACACCACGTTCAACACGCTTTCTACAACGTTCGGTCCACGCTGGGCCTTACCTTGATCGCGGTCTGCATGAGGACCGTGGTGGCATAATTTACGCCCTTAGTGCCGAGGTGCAACACCGCCGTGTAACCCTGTTCTGTCGCGCGTGCGAGGGCCTCGTCGATCTCAGCCTCGCGGCGGATTAACGCTGGATGTACGAAGCGTCGGTAAAGAATACTGGAGCCCTTAGTGGCCGGGCTCAGCAGCCAGAGTACCAGGATGATCTTAATCTCATAGTAAAACGGAAACCTACGTAACAAACGTCGCGGCGTGTAAATGTCGTGCGCGACAACGCATTCGCTGTACCTACCAATCATGACTTAGTTAGAAACTGTTAAGCGTGAATAATGAAAGGGCTCAGGATAGTGAAATTGTATCAAGGCTATGATTTGCGATTTGTGCCCGAGTCGAAATTTGAATCCTACTTTAAGTCTAATTGAATTTTAAATGTTCCTTCTATTGCGCTTCTTCGGTGCCGCGAATGAAAAAGTGATTTTCTCCACTTGAAAGCTGAATGTAGAATTAAAAACATTTCGACTCGGGTGCGTTCGATTCCGACCGCCGGCTGTTCGAGCGGCTTCAAGTAAAATCGGCGAAAAACCGAAAGCGCTGCGATATACTTCGCGACGTGGCGACGAGCGTGAAAGTGAGAGGTCGTGGGGAAAAGCGCGAACACGGGAGGATATCGGGCAGTCGATGCCAGAAATACGCGGGAGTCTCGTTTCCTTCTTGGTTGTAATCCGAGTATGAAGGGAGATCTGGCACGATGTGGTAGGAGAGAACGAGAAAGAGACGGAGGGAACGCGAGAGAGGAGAGGATGGTAGGGAAGCGGGCAGAATCCTCAGAAGTGCATGTAAGCCAATATCTATCTCGTCCGAAATTAGACTTTCGGAATTCCTCCTCGCGGCGGGAGCGCGGCTTTCAGACCGCGCGGTTCGCAGCTGGTTTATTGGCCCCTTGTTTGCCCTCGCGCGACTACGAAGATTCATCTCAATATCCGGTGCATTATGTCGCGTACACATCGGCGTTTCTCGTCCGGTCGTTACGCGGAGAATGCTCGAGTGCAAAGGTTAATGAACGGTGACTAGAGAATACTCGTGGCGATGATAAATCCTCCTGGCAAAATTTACGAACACCGGAGGCTTTCGATTCGACACAAGGAGGCTCGTATTTTTATAAAACGCACCTTCCCTCCCTCCCCGTTGATACTCCGGTTGACGAACGGATACATTTGAGGGCGCGATCCTGCCTAATATCCCGCGCTACTCGAGCGAATCGCGTAATTGGCGCAAACTAGAAGGTAAATTTCTATGATAATAAGGTGCTTCTCACCAGAAACTAAAGAAGACGTCGGTGAACGTTTCCGCGCACGTGAACAGCGCGAACACGATCCAGTACATCATCCATTTGACCTGAAACCAAAGAAATTCCAGAGCGATGGATTATTACAGAAGTGGCGCGAAAGATGGCGGACAATTGATATTTTAGATTCGTTCTCTTCGCGGTATTCGATCGATTCGAGGGATTTAAGTGACGAGGAATCGAAAATTCCGCGATTTTAACGCGAGCTCGCGCGTTTGCGTAGCCACTTGTTACTATTGTCGTCACTCTTATCGTTTACACTTCTCACTTACATATTCCTTGACGTTCTTCGTGCGCACAGCCTTATAAGAAGCATACGCCGGGTATAGAGTGCCGAAGACCAATCTGAAAATCGGATATACGAGCCTGTAAATGAAGGATCGCGGCAACACTATCGCGAGGATCACCGTCAACAACCCGATGTTGTTCAACGTCATTCTAACGGGAAATGTTTGGATCCAATAACGGCACCAGGCCATCGTCTGTCTCGCCAAAATCTCGAAGGTTCCCGGCTTATGTATCGATACAACCGACAATTCCTTCGATCGCGAATTGTCCATCTCGAGAATATCTGTCAGCGATCGGTGGTTTCTTTTCGGTTCCATTGTATCGCCGTTTTATCTCTCTCTCTCTCTCTCTCTCTCTTTCTCGTGTTCTCTTCTTCTTGAGAAATTTCCCTTCTTAATTGAAGAATCTTGAATTTTCCCTTGGACCCTTCGATGATTGTCGAACCGACGGCCAACAAGACCAACTGGAACAGGAAACAGAAATTATCCGGGGGATAACGTTCATCCGTGTGGACGACCGTACAATTTAAGAACACTTAATAGCTTGTGGTGAAAGAGTCGGTCAGACGAAGGCGACACGGGCGTCTTTGAGATTTCTTTAGTGAAGCCGATTAAGGGATTCGTCGGGGATTCACCAAGTGAATCCGACGATTGCGACCGTTATACGTAGAACAACACGGTTATATTTTGATCGGAGTAGACGTTAGTACGACGAAGCTACCTTGTACATTATTTACAAGCATATTCGGGTCGCGCAACCAAAATATAAACTAGAGAAAAGATACAAAAAATAAACTTTTACACGGTCCGTACGGGTCTTTTAATCTTTTACAAATCTAACAATACACAGTTTTGCACGAGAATGTAACGGATGCATCATCGAACATTTAATCTGCCCGATCGAATGATTCGCGACTTTCAACGACGGTGTTGCGGAATAATCACCGAATTCGGGATTCCAGGGCTGTCGAATGAAGCGCAGTCATCCGTCGATCGATGCCTGCGACGACCTCGATCGCTACGACCTCGTTTAAAGGGATTGCGTAAGAAGCTTATTATGGAGATCCAATTAAACCCACGATATCGTACAACCCGTCGTCATCCCGCACCGATCCGAGATTGGAGCGCGACAGTCGCCGCATTCCTCGACGGATCACGAAACTTCGCGAGATGATAACGCTCTCTGATAAAGTCTCTCTCTTTCTCTTACAATCCTATCGCTCCGTCCGTCAGACTCATCCGCGTCTCTCGTGACTCTTCCTGGAACTCCCGTCGCCGCCAGTTCGACCCGGTCGCGAGCGAGACGACGCTCCGCCAGTGTTTTCGTCGTCGACGAATTCCGGCGAGTCGGCTCCGTTACCGTGGCGACCTTTCGCTTTCCCCAAAATTAATTCCTCGCGCGAGCGCGCGCGCGCGTCCGACCCGCGTCGTTGCCGAGCTCCCCGATACGCCGCGGCTCGCTCTTTGCGCGGATGCTCCCAGTTAAAGACTAAGCACGTAGCCGTTCGTTCGGGCCACCGTCAACGACGACGGCGACAACGACCAACACCGCCTGCAGAGGCTCTATTTTCGCGCCTTAAGCCGCTGTTACGCGAGCGTCATCGCCCAAGAGTCGCGCCGTCGTCTGAAAAAGGGCTAACCGCGGCTTTCTCGTCCGCTGATTCACCGGCTCGTGCAGCTCGCTGCTCCGAAATCATCCCCGGAAACTCAATCTTCGCACGTACGTTCCGCCAGACTTTCCCCGAAACTGTTTACTCGTGGTATTGTATCCGCGCAAACAATATCGGTGATCGAGGTGATCGAGGAATGCATCACCTTCAGACGACGCCTTTATTTACAGACTGAAGGGAACAACATAGAAGACTTATCCTTTCCCGAGGAAATTTCATCGAGTACTATCTAACGTCGCTTCAACCTCTCTTCTAATGTCTGTCTAATATGCGATTGGAGAGGTAAACATTACCAAATCAAATCTCCAAGATTACTCACGATTCGAGACTCCACCGAATCGAGAACTCCGCTGAATTAAGACTACTCTCTGTTCTCGTGCGGTACAAAACGAGTCGAAAGAATGTGTGTGTGTGTGTCCGCAAATAAAGGGAAACGCAAAGAACTCGGGGGGCATTCTCTATAATGCAGTGAACGGTGGTACAGTAGTCGCTGCTCGTAATACTTTTTTGACAAAGGGTTAAAAGCGTTTGCGACCGATTTAGAGTGCATGACCGTTTCCCCCGCGAGTGGGTCATCCGTAAGTGCCAGAACGACGAGTTAATTATATGCGCCAACCTAGATATATCGTATCGGTCAAGCTTTATCGGAATAAGGACTGCGGTCGAGCGATTGTTCACTTGCGACGCGTCGCTCGGATTTACATTCAATCGCGCGAACTTTGCGCTCGATTTCGGTATCGTTCCTCGAAAGCTGGGTCTCGCGCCTGCGAACGCAATCCGGAAAGTATCAATATTCCTGAAGGATGTGTAACATGATTTAAACACCTACTACAACAACGCGCGCGAGGAACGTCACGCACGAACGTCGTTTCTTTTAAACCGGACGTATGCAAATGCGACGTTCTCTCGCGGAAGTTTCGACAGCGCTCTCGAGCGCTCTCTGAGGCCTCCGGAGAAATAAACCGCGAATGACGCGTAACAACGTTTACAACTTCGAGAACTAACGACGCGCATTATTTTCGCCGGTTAATTACATTTTTATTGTATACATTTTTCTTCAATTACATTACACACGGTGCGGATGTTCGGGGAGAACCGCTGTTTTTCAACCGCTCTGATTTAGCTACTCCCCAAGCGGTCAAAGCGCGAGTTTCTGCGCGAGCAAAAAAACAACGGCGGCATTTACGTGACCTGCGAAGTCACTTCGTCAGTCGAGCGTGTTAAATGAACACGTTAACGACGATTGTTCCTCGGATCGCGAGATGACTCCGAGGGCTGAAACCGACGCCCGATATCCAATTTTCCGTATCACGCCGGAGAAATGCGTCTGACGTCACTCGTCGCGATTTCACGATGACGACGGAAGAGTCTCCAGGCTGGCTTTTCGCGCGCCTCGCGAACATCGAGATCTCGAACTCACCGTGAATAACACCGGCTTCGAGTCGCCGATTTGTAATCGGCCGTTCTTTCATGCGTTCGTGCACGCGATACTGTACGGCGTTTACGAACACGATCGCCGGATAAAGCCTTCCGCTCGCGAAGTATCGCGCGAAACTGCGAGTGATCGCGGTGCACTCGTAGGTAATTTGATGATTGTCACCAATGTCGCTATCCGCGCATTGCGTAACAGGGCGTCCCTAGTGCGCAGTCCGCGAGCCGCAGCGAATACGACGGCTCACGACGTTATTCACGCCCGGCCGCTTCCGGTTCCGGTTACCACGCGGATCGACACGTACGAGCCGACCCTTTCGATTCACGACGTATCAAGCCGAAGAAGCCAGCCGACTGGCAATCGCGCGATAAGGCCCCGGCGATTTACGAGCGTCGTCGGACGCGATTCCGCTGCCATTTACGAAATTGAATGTCCAGGACGGTCCCGACGGTGACCGCCGTCGCGAAATTATCTATCGACCTGATATCTCGTAAAGAAGGATCCCGTGACTTTTATACCGCCTATTTGTCCTGCTCTACTCATATGTATTCGCTTTCTGCCGTCTCGAGCTCCCACTCTCTCTCTCTCTCTCTCTCTCGCTTCCTCCTCTTCCAGCCTGCGAGTTCGCTGGATCCTGTGGATACCGTTCGAGCGAGGTGCGCGCGAGTTTACGAGGTTTATGTGAAATTTTTATTATATATCTCTCTAATTTGCCCCGCGGATATATGTAACGTCCGAGAAGAGACAGCTCTCAACTTAATATATCTGCGAAAAATGCCCCTGTGCATCTCGTCTGTCTCGTTCATAAATTCCTGTAAGAATTGGGCATGTCGGTTTCCTGTCTCATGGACTTGAATTCTTTCTTTGTTTGTGCATCGTTTCCCCAGTTATCGGACATTTCTTCATTTATTTTTCTATTTATTAATACGTTCGCGCGCTACCGATGCAACGCAAGGATCTCTCGCAAGGGACCAGTATCACATGTCAATAACAGCAAAAACTTTTTTTCAGTTCACATTATCGAGTCGATAAGTTTGTTTACACAGTTACGTAAAAAAATGCAAGGTAGTCTATGGGGAGAGTCCTCTAAAGAAATTCTAATTGCAAATGTATTGATTTGTTATTTCAACAAAAAGTTACTTTCGCTGATGAAATTTCAGCAAATATCGAGTTCACAATGCAAGTTTTACTCTTTCAGTTTCCAACCTTCGCATGTAAAATATCTGTTTGAGTCAATAAAAGATTTGAAAATAACTTGTCGCGTTTCAATTCAAGGTCGTGCAATATTCATTCGAAAGTTTCGAACCAGCTGCGAATATCATTATTTGCAGTTCCTTGACTCGACTGACTTACAGACTGACGCCAGTACAGTTTGCACAGTCTCGTTCGCATGATTCAAATCGTTGACTTTTGTCTCGTCCAACGCTTGGTAGCTTTACGTCGATGTGATCGAAAATATGTACTTTTAAAATTAGTTATATGAAACAGATTATATTGTAATATCCTCTACAGAAGTTCGTAAATGACAAAACAGAGAGAAAGAGAGAGAGAGGGAGAGAGGGAAAGATAAATATATTTTATCTCGCTGCATATCATAATATATTATAATATAAATTACACGATATGATGTGTAAATCACCATAATAAACAACGTTATTATCGCCACACTCTGGATTTGGTCGCGAAAAATCGACCGAAATCGGGAACGAAATTCGAGCTTGTCGTCCTCATCATATAAAGCGACGAAATACGATTACGGTCCCATATGATTGTTACTGTCGCCCGCTTTCATGTTTATTAATGACGACGTGTAACTTCCCCCTTCCTACTGCGACACTCGTGTATGCACGGTGGCCTCGGTCGCGAGAGCGAGGTTATTCGTATGTGTCGCGAGGTCAAGATCATTGTCGTTCGTTTGCGCGTAGCCTGAATTCCGTCACGCCTCGTTTAACCGCGAGTATCGTCTTCAACGTGATAACGAAGTTCCTGACATTAGGCGGAAACCCGGCGTATTTCTGCCGCTTGTTCTCTGTTTCCGCAGATGTTACGCATTTACACGAGAGCGTATCAAGTATTAACGACTCTATCGACGCTAATGTTCGTAACTTACCTATGAAATATGAAAGCGTGGCAGAATTATTACGGAGTTGGAAAGTACGGTGCACTTGAGACGTTTCAATGTTACCCGGGGAAAACGCTTACATATCCCTCTTTGAGCCGCGTAAGAGAATGATATTTCTTCTCACGCCAGAGCGTAAAAAGCATCTGGCACGGATAGATATTGGACGGAAGTACCTTGCAAGAAACACGTGCGAGGTTACCGGCAAACTGTAAATGGGACGCCGGGTGAGGTCTAATAGAGAATACACGGAGAAGAAATTAGCCGTAAATCAAAACTCGATGATTTCATCAATATGCGATGCGATTTAGCCCATTAACTGCCAAATTTTTTTTTGAAATTTTTGGCCGGATAAGTTATATATATGCACAAAAAGTTGTGTAACAGTATAATTATATTCAAATTATGTTTTGTTTTGATCCCCAAATGGGGATCGTGGCAGCTAATGGGTTAAGCTCCTATCGTCGCGAGGTTTTCGCTAAAACGCTCTCCTGCGAATAAGGTATTAATTAATAAATAGTTCTTTATAAATACTTATTAGTAACTTCCGTTATGCAGGTAATTTGCTGCGATCTGGCTCTGTATTAATGACTTTGTCGCGCACTATTATATCCGTTTTACACAAACGCTCGTTTGAAGAAATACAATGAAGACGGTTCATCGCGGGTCATCGATAGACAAGCGACGAGCAAAATTACAGCGACGAGGGTGTGCGCAGTTATTTCGGGACGGGCACGAGGAGCATCAATCTAATCTAATAACGAATAACACGACAACGAATTACGAGGGCGCTCCTTTAAATTACGCGATGCGTCAAAGTAACGTCACGCATCGCACTGACCCTCTCATTTTAATATTTTGACAAGCATTGAATAATATCTGCGATTACATACGCGTATGCACAAACACGGCGAATGAGAACTAACATTACCGGCTAACTTGACACGTGCCAGTGATCGTTAAATTTCAGCGACGAAGCGAAGCAATACGATGATTTTGCATCGCTCGTTATTCACGCTTTACTCGTTGATAATTTATTGCGTTAATCCCGAGAGGGAAGAAAGGAAAGCGCTCATGGTCGTCAAAGCGAGACTTTTAGACGTTGAATCTTCTGGATTTGTTCCAAATTTGAGAGGCATTCGAAGCTGCCTGCTCGGAATTACAACGAGTCACGGGATAGATGCCATCCATTATACCGCCAGCTCATCGGCCTTGAAGGCCCACGATGGAGTCCGCGGAGGGAACAAAAAGAACAGATATCAATTTCCTCGTTTCTAACCGAAAGCCGTACGTGCGCCGAATATTTCGAATGGTTCGCGGCGAGATAATGATCTTACTCTAATGGTAAGCCGGCGGCTTTTTATCGATCACAAGTGGATAAGTGTATACTTTTAGCAAAGGATAATCGCATTTCTAATTATCAACAAGTTTCTCTTGCAACTCTAATCGCAGATATTAACGTACATTAACTAAAACTGCTGGTTGCAGAGTGGTAACGTTTCTGGCGCACGACTTGGTTGTATAATAATAACTTTCTAGATGAAAAGGCAATACAGTTGCAGATGTAATCATGTTGGCGCAATCATTATTCACGCGGATATTATATTTTTAAACGAGATAATACAGACAACTGTTACGTCTCGAATCGAGTGGGTTGATAAACAACGCAGCGGTCAAGATAGACAGATTTAATATCATATTCAGGCAGTTGTTAATTTAATGTCATATAAAAATGTTGATAATCCATGATCATGCATGAATACGCGCAAACACGACGTTACATGACTTCGACGTGTTGGAAAGTTGAGACCATCGTCAATTGTGCGTACAGGATATACCCTTCTTTTCTCTCAAATTTCAGATATTAAAATATTGCCTAATTTTTATCGCACCCCGGAACTTTAGCGTTACTACGCGATACAGGTCGACGATGTGTGTGTGTGTGTGTGACGCATTATACAATTACGATTATAATTCCGCTCTCAAGGTTGCTGTGCAGGAAGTACGCGACGAGCACATGTATCTCTCCCGCAATCTTACACAATCTAATATCTTTCCTAGCCGATTAGCTCGTCGTAATCTCCCTCGGAGGAATACCATTCGGATGCATTCTAGGAATCTGCGTTACTTCTTGAATATTAATGTCGAATCGAAGTAACCGCGCATCGGGACTATTTCCGACGTATTCCCGGAATTGGACTTATCTCAGCCGCGCATAATTGAATTTCGCACAAGTGGAAAGTATACATCTTCACGTATCCTGCGGCACGTAAAATGCAAAAAATGCGAATGAATTCGCAACGATTGTCATTCACAGTACTTAGAACGAATATGCGTAGAGCATTTTATCTCTTGGATTTTCTAACGAGGGCGATCTCGCTCGTCGTTTGTCACGTAACTCGGCCCGTTTAAATTCTCTAAAAAATGTATACGATGGCAATATTCGGGATTAGGAACTTGCGAAATAATTCTCCCTGATATCTCCGAGCGATGCAACAGCTGTATCCGCAATTAGGAAGCTTCCCAGCAAGTCGGTCTTATGACTTGGGCGTAATTTTCAGAGGGGAGGGTAGAAAAACCACGGATACCGTGTTGACGACCGTTACTCGCTTGAAAATCGGCGCGTGAAAATTGCGCGAATAATGAGCCACAGCCGGAACGAGCACTGGTGTGGCTCGCTTGGGCGGCAAGAAGCACGTCATGTTGGTCCGTCCGGCAAAGTCGCACGAAAAAGCTTGCACGTACGAACCTTGAGGCAATTTTACGCGCGCACACGCGGATTTTCTACCTGAATTCGCGAAAGAAAGACGAAACAGGATGAAACACGACCACGAGGACGACGTACTCGACCGAGTCGAACGAGAGATCGCGGTGGCAGGAGCGTCGCGGAGATGCTCCTTCGGTGCAGAAGTGATGCACCGAGTCCGCTGCAATGGCCTCAATTGCACCGGTTTGAGACGTTCACCAGCTGATCGCCTATTAGTAAAAGGCAGTGCGGGCAGAATACTCGCTAGATTAGAAAGTACAGAACTCATCCGACAAAATGGCTCGCTAAGTCCAGTAAAACCCGAACGCTCTCGGGAGTTATCCACCAATCCTTCCTCGTCAGCGTCGCTCTCTCGCTATTTCCCCCAGATCCACGATTTATCTCAAGTACGTCGCAATTAATCTTCGAAATATTTCTATTGCTTCGCTCTAGCCGGTTCTTACCAATTCGGTCACATATCTTATTACAAGCTAATATCCCAACATTCCCATAACTGAATAAAACGCAAATTTATAGTAACATATCTATATTCACGGTGAAAAAGAGAAAGAGAGAGAGAGAGAGAGAGAGAGAGAGAGGGGGGATAGAGAGCCGCACCTAATTTCTAATCTGACGGGAGAATTGATCGATCGTGCGTACGTCGGTACAGAATACTGATGCGTCTCTCGATTCTTTATCAACAGTAACACGAATAACTGAACTATTCCTACGATCGCATGATAACATTATTAGACGTTAGACCGGCAAATTATCGGATTATCCAACGTTTTTCAACGTCGACGTTGAAAATTTCGATCACGGCGGCGCTTCAATTCCAATCCTTGCCCCCGCATAAAGACACACAGGAGTGTATCCTTCGGGTTCGCGCTCACACGATAAGCTCACTTTCTCTCGACCCGATTGTCGCGCTAGATCGCTACCGCGCTTTTTATTCGCGGCCGAGCAGTCGCTTCGTGGTTGGTCGATCCTGTGCACGCCCGATCGGTTCCTTTATCGTCACGTCGAAGCGGCCAGCCACGGTGCAACGACCGGCTAAGTAATTCGACTAACTTTTTCTAAGCAGTGGCGCAAAGAGAGGTATGCTCATCTTTCCTACGCTACTGTGCTCCCTTTTCCACCTTCTTTTCCTTGATCCTGCCGGCCGGCCGTCTTCGCTCCTTGGAATTTTCGCGAGTTCCCCCGCCGATCCCGACGACAGGTCTCTTCTATTCCGCTCCGCCGTGGTCGATGTTCAGATGTAAATCACCACGACGCCGTCGTTGAAGAAGATCGTTATGCGAATCTGCTGTTTGACTCTGGAGGACATGTCGTCAACGGCGCGTTACGACGATCGCTTGAATTACCGCGCAGATGGAGAATCAAGGGGTTGAACTCCAACGCTGGACATTCTTCTCGGCCGGCACTTTTGATTCCCGCTCTACTCGCTGTGCTCGTGAACGGCTCGACACGCCTGTGCAAATCGCACGTTCGATTATTCGCGATGCCGAAGCCGAGTGTTACTTAATAAATCTCCCATTCAGGGCGAATGCACGGACAGGCACTAAACCGCTCGCCGGGGCGAAGCGCGGGGATCAAGGATACGACATTCTGGCGTCGACGGCGTTGATTCCCTCGTCAGTGGCATCGCCTTTCTCTCGGATGCAGCGCTCGGATAATGACGATGATTAATCGCTGCCGTCGCGCCGATCGAACGTTCGCGAGAATCCGACGGCCGATTTAAGAAAGACAGTCGCCGCGTTTTATTCTCAACGCCACCGCCGGCGCATTCACCGTCTTCTATTTGCGACGTCGTCCGCGGCCTCGTGATCTCTCTCGGACGTTGTCCTGAATTCTGCCGGGTGAACGAGGCGCAAATTCCACTACTTCAAATGTTCAGGTCCAAAATCAAACGGTCACGATATGTCACAGAGGCCGGTTGTGCCGAGGAGTCGAACACTGCGGAATCTTGCTCTCGCCATGCTAACCTAGGCGATAACCTTGGCTATATCTTGCGGTAATTCAGAGCGACATTGTTCTATTTTAAATTTCAAAATCCGAGCAGCGAGAGATAAAATTTTACGGTACGTTTTATCTGAAAGTTGACGATTTCGCTCGTGCGCCGTTGACTTTAGCGCGGCTAGTCAAAATGGTCTAAAGCAGCATTGTTCTACTTTAGAAGTTTCCGAGTCCGAATTTCAAGATGAAGGATCCGCAGCTCGCCTCTGAATTTCGTGACGTCTGCATGGCGAACGCAACGACGAGGTACTCTCGTCGGAGGGCGCCAAATCCGATCCGGAGAGTGCGTGTGCTTTTGACACGCGTACGCACGCACGAACCGAGATGTACTCTTTGCACTTCTAGGACCGGAGGTAGCTTTTTGTCTCTCGCGTGTCTATCCCACGAGCGTCGCGACGCCCCAACTGGAAGCCGGCCACTTCTGCGCTCGGGTTTATATTTAAACGGCGGAGCGCTGACAATGTCGTCGTCGTCGACGCATCGTCTTTCCCAATGCGTCGACCGAGGGCGCCGAGTAGTGGAAAGAAGAAAGAGACGCGATGAGTGGGAAGCGAGACGAGACGAACACATTGAACACTGCGGGGAGCGGTGGGAAAAAAAAATGCCCGCTTTCACGAAGTGAAAATATTTCTGGAGCGCGTGATACATCGGGGCGACGTTTCGAAGAGAAATATTATTCGAGAAGAAAGGAGAGCGGCGCGATGAACCTCGGGTTTCCAGAATTCGTATGTAAATATATAGAGTGTGCGCAATGAAGAAAGAAAGAGAGAGAGAGAGATGGGAGTTAGTTCTCGCGAAGAGATTAAATCGCGTTTACCGTTATTGAGGACATCCGAGGACGCGCTTCTCTCGTTTCGTTTATTCGCACACGAAGTCGGAGACTTTTAACGATACAGAGGGGTTTACCTGTTCTAGAGAAATATGACTTCCCATTGTAATCTGTGTCCCGATTCTCTGGCTTTGTTATACTTCTCCCGCGGCGTTTCGGCTCGATATATACAAAAAGTTTACGCGCACATGCATACACGCGGTGCAGCGCGATGAAGCGTTGGGAAATCCGTTCTATAAAAGAACCTGTAAACATCGATGCCGCAGGATCACGGACCTCCCACGCTGGTGCGCACTTGCTCATTCTAAACGGGGCCGGCCAGAATTCGCACGTGGTGAACGAACGTTTAACGATTCGCGACGAAAGTGAGACTACACAGAGAGCTGCCGGTGCAACTGACGAAACGCACGCGTGTGTAAATATCAATAGTCGTCGCAGTTGATCGCTCAATTGTTCGAATCAAGATTGCTAATGGCCGACGAAGCTAATCCTCGGTTGAAGCAACTTTCCTTCAACGGAGCTTCGATTTCATTATTTAGTTGCAAAGACGCATTTAGACACCGGCTGTTGGTGTGTCATCGTGTGATGCACAAACACGCAGGTATAATGATTAGTACTATGTGTACCCCGCAAATAGTCTACGTACACCGAGCGCAATCAGAGCGCTTGCATACGAATTAGCCTTTACACCGGATAGTCGCGGACAGGTACGTCGATCGATAAATATTACAGAGAACCAGTGTGCCCTCCCCGTCTGCCTCTCCCTCGTCACGCTCGCGATACGTTCTCGCCGAGCAAGCGAGGAAAGGAAATCCCGAAGGGACATCCCGAAGGTCTGAATGCTCGACGTTCCGGCACGAATCCTCGCGAGAGAAGAGATCCTTTCTTTTTCTTCCGCCCGTCTGCCCACGCGCTCGAACTACCTACCGCCCACCCGCGTAAAGATAAAAGAATGAGACGAAGGAACGGAGAGACAAGGAAGAAGAGAGAGAGAGATCTAGGAGCGAGAAGAAAGAGAGAGCCAAATACCGGGTCGAAGGAGAGGAAGGGTGATGTATGGGGAAAGAGACGGTTCGCGTGTGTCCGTTCATGTGAGGGAGAACATCGCGCCGATATCAGGACGTAGGGTTTCGAGGTACGCCCAAAGGGTCATCACCCTGGCAAACCCCCTTCGCTCGTGTGCATGCCGTCGTCCTTTCGCTCGCCTCCTACCTCGTCTTCTCTTCGCCGGACAGTCCCCACTCCGTCTTCCTCACGCTCCAACGGTGCAGCCCCGACTGCACCCCTGTGACATGCACTTTTGCTTCCTGGCGCGTCTCCAGGGACGAAGAAATACAGTTTGCCCCGCGAGAAAATGGCGTAATTATATACGAGAGCGGGGGGGGGGGAGGGGGCATAAATCACGACGGCGAGGGTAGTAACGGGGCGCGCGAGACTTCGGCGAGCGGGCTCGCATCGGCCGAAAGCGCGGTTCGAAAACTTTTTCCTTTCCTCCTTCCTCGGCAGGCATCGGGGAAAAGATGAAAACTTTCGGAGGGGCGCAGGCGTTTTTCTTCGCGACGCGCGAGATTACTTCCCCGTTCGTTTCGTCGAAAACGCTCGCGTGTTCTCGTTCTGGAAACTGGAGCGAGATCCGATTCTACCACACCGGTTTCGAAAGCTGTCCCTTTTCAGTCATTCAGTCGCGTTTTCATCATCGCGAGTAGAGGGAGAGAAAGAGACGGAGAGAGGAGAAGGGGAACGTTACTGCGTCACGGACGACTATCTGCGGTGCACGGTTCAATATCCTCCACTATAATGGCGTCACTTGAGAAGGGAGCCGCTCGCGTGACTCGCTTCTTGATAACGTGACTGACAGCCGATGGAAATCCAGCCCGCGAATCATACCGCGATGATATGGGTGTAACGAGCTCGGCACGATGCTGTTTTTCGCAAGAAGTTGGATGTTGGATGAAAGAAGTTTTGCGGGACGTGAGCATTGCTTAACTGGGAAAAATAAGAAAACGCGGCTTGACTGAGAGGGCGAGATACGGCGAATGCAACGATACGTGAAATTATATTAGCATCCGCTTCGAACCTTGACATATTATTTTAATAGAACCGGAACAAGAATCGAGATGCAAATCGCGACGCAATCTCGGCACCTCGAAGGGAATGCTTAACGCTGATGGAGCTCCCGCGAATAATTGCTTCTTCGGTCGGCGCATAAGCGGCGATAAAATTTGCCACGGGATAAATGGGTTTTAATATTAATCTACGACCGCTAATGACGGGCTGCGCGCCGCGAGGCGCTAACGTAAAATTGCAAACTGCCCCGTGTACGGCCTTATTTATTGTCGTAAAGCCGCGTCCGTACTTACGACGGTCGCTCGAGGTTGTAATTAGGAATTTGCGTAACGGAATAATCAATGATACGCGCGAATCCTTCGACGCATCGAAGATGAGACGCCGTTGCGTTCGAGAAAATTGATAATTGTAAAGTATCCGTGAGAATACGGAACGATGCCGAAAACGGTTGTTTTGACAGAAGCTCGCATATAATCGTGCACGTTGCTCAAGATTTTTTTACGGGCATATCTCGAAATTTTAGTTCTACATTAAATCTTTAAGTGAAGAAAACGGAAATAACTCTCCATTTCTAATATCAAAAGGAGGACGATAGAAGATCTATAAAGACTTAATATAGAACTGAAATTTCGACTCTGGATTCTTCTCATTATGTAAATTTAATTCATCACGAAAGAATATGAAAATGTAACGACGCTAATTGTCTCGAGATCAGAAAGTTTTCTTGCTTTCCAAGTGTATACTTAATTCGATTAGTTATTACAGTTTCTTACAAGCACTGTGCATAATTAACACATAATTTAATCAGGCACATGTATCTCCGATTTGTCCCTTTTTTCCGGAAAGAGGCGAAGGAGAAAACACTGCACCGATCGTAATGAAAGTTCCAGCTTTTCCCATTCCCACACGCCGTTGGCTAAAGGCTGTCATAATTAACGGGACGACAGAATCCCGCTGAAATTTCCTTCTTATTTTCCGGGCGGAAGTCCCAGTCCGCGGATTCGACGTAGGAGACAACGGAAAAAATTATGCGCTGCGCCGAGGGACTCTCCCATCGTAATTAGCGAGCGGCATTCTCAATTATTCTAATGAGGGTAATGACGTCACGAGGCTCAGAGAATCCCGAAGTAGATTCGGCCGTGAATATTACCACGATGCGTTTACATGACTTTTTTCTTTTTTCTCTCTCTCTCTCTCTTCTACCTTTCTTCTTTTTCCCGACATCGTTACCAGTCTTTTGAAATATGCGAAGCCTTTCCACGCGGATTTCCCTTCGCCACGAGAGTGCATCGCGTGGTCGCACGTAATAAAAAAACCTAGCGAGTTATACACGGCGGTACAATTGTTTTATAATACAGAAATTTCCAACCCACAAACGCGCAACGCATGCACGCATACACGTGCGCGTGGTTTTTGCGTATCAAGATACTTGCGTATACCCGTGACTTCAAAAGTCGCCGCATAGCCGGATGCGGCGCGTAGGGTAATAACGCGGCCGTTATTCCCGATATGCAAAGTGGAAATGAATGTAGAATGCGGGTTACGAGATCAACGACGTTCGGCGAGCAAGTGCGGGATTTATGCAGGAAAATCATAAATAATGCACGAGGTTTAGTTTAACGCTATAATAATACCGCTTATCTTGCGCATTGTGCTTTTACTTTTATACCTTCACAACTCTTGAAATAATTATATCAACCTCGCATGGTCGGGAATTTGAGCGCACGACGTGTGATTTACACACGTTTAGCGCGAGGCTATCGTGGGGTTACCGTGAAAAATACAAAGTTTCTCAATTTCGCAACTAGTGCTTTGCCAATTTGCAAACTATTTGGCGAGTATTTTACTGCAGCACACAATCGACAGGATTTCCAAATATAATCGGGTACCAGAGCGAATTTTTCCGGGTGGATAATTAGTGCGCAAAAAATACGAGCACGAGAGGCGTTCTCTCGCCGAAATGTAGCCACGGCGAGTGTCGAGACCCACCTATCGATTTCAGTGTTCGTTAATCGCGGCTCGAAACAAGAGTCACGTCTGATGTTAAAGAATTTCGCGCCGTCCGACATAAATATACGTCCCCCGGCGTTATCTTCCTCTCGACGACCCGACGAGTGCGGTAGGACGAGACCGTGGGGAGAGCTAAACAAGCTGCCCCGTCGCTCCTCACGACGGTCGAGTGGACGTCGAGGGCGCCGCGACGGGGGCGAGAAAGGTTAACGCGATCTCCCGTGCGAGGGTGTACGGAATATTGATTCGCGCCGGTGTTAGGAACCTTCTAGCCTCATGGGTGTACGCCGGAGGTAGGTGGACGAATGCATACGTGCATACAGAGTGTCCTGACGTCGTCGGAAAATATAACGGATCGTATTCTGTCCGTGCATTTCACACTAAATTCCGACTTTCCATCTTATTAGTGGAAATTTCACCATAGATCTTCATTTCCCACAAATGTCTCTTCATATTTCTATAGCAAATATCCTCAGAATTTCATCAGAGAGGTAAAGTTTCTT